GAGTAGAGTAGAGTAGAGTAGAGTAGAGTAGAGTAGAGTAGAGTAGAAAATTGAATGGAATGGAGTGGAGTGGAGTGGAATGGAGTGGAATGGAATGGAATAGAATAGAATAGAATAGAATAGAATAGAATAGAATAGAATAGAATAGAATACAATACAATACAGTACAGTACAGTACAGTACAGTACAGTACAATACAATACAATACAATACAATACAATACAATACAATACAATACAATACTGGGAGTTCTTGACTTAAGACACATTCAGAGAGTTGTGTTAAAGCAGGATGGGCAACCACAGTATAGCTTGACTCCCTTCTTTGGGGCAGCCCCTGAGATATTGGAACACTGCTATCATATCTCCCCTAGTCCTTCTTTTCATTAAACTAGACATACCCAGTTCCTGCAGGTTGATTAGGGGTGACATGATAGCAGTCTTCCAATATTGGAGTGGCAGTCACAGAGGGGTTCAACCGATTCCCCAATGCACCTGAGGGCAGGACAAAAAAATAACTAATGGAAACATCTTCAGTGATTCACAACTTAAGGAAGGAAAACACCACCTGCCATTTTTAATAACAGGCAAACTCTTTGTAAATACAAGCCTACATATCAGTTCAAGTTAAAAAACAGAGTTAGGAATGGAATTAATTTGGACACTACCTATAACAGACTTGCAAGATTCTATTAAATGCAGCCTTACAATAAAGTAGAATTAGCTTATCTGACCATGTTTTGTGTCTCCCTGGAGTGGCTGACACGAGATTATCCTGCCTTTGTGAAACTATTGCTATGTGTCCCAACAGGAAACCCGTCCCCGCATGTCCGAATTCTCAGTGAAAGCCACAATAATTTCTCGATACGCATTTACCACAGTCTCCTGCACTTTGGTGAACACCGGCTCGGAGGCTCGAGAAGGTGTCTTTGAGATGCAAATACCCATCACGGCCTTCGTCTCCAATTTTACCATGTAGGTGAGCGTTGTGTCATAAAATAAATGTGATGGTCTGTGAGAATGGCCTTGGGAGACGGGAGGGAGAATCGCAGGCTGCACAAGGAGGATATAAAAAGTATCTCAGCGTTTCAGAAGGCACCCTCCCTATTTTTTCTGGGGAAGAAAAAGGGAGGGGGGAAGAGAAATTTTTAGATTTGCAAGACTCTATTAATGTAACCTTAAGGGGAACGTGGTGGCTCAGTGGCTAAGATGCTGAGCTTGTTGATCAGAAAGATTGGCAGTTCGGCGGTTCGAATCCCTAGCGACGCATAATGGAGTGAGCTCCTGTTACTTGTCCCAGCTTCTGCCAACCCAACAGTTCGAAAGCACATAAAAAATGCAAGTAGAAAAATAGGGACCCCTTTGGTGGGAAGGGAACAACATTCTGTGTGCCTTCTGGCATTTAGTCATGCTGGCCACATGACCACGGAGACATCTTCGGACAGCGCTGGCTCTTCGGCTTTCTAACAGAGATGAGTGCCCCCTAGAGGCAGGAACGACTAACAGGTATGTGCGAGGGGAACCTTTACCTTTATTCATGTAACCTTACAATAGATAGCACAGATAGTCCTCGACGTACAACAGTTCATGTTGTGACCGTTACAGTGGCGTTGAAAAAAATTACTTATGATCATTTTTCACATTTACAACCATTTACAGCATCCCTGTGGTCGCATGATCAAAATTGAGGCACTTGGCAACTGATTCATATTTATGACGGTTGCAGTGTCCTGCAACCCCCCCGCCCCCCCTTTTAGACCTTCCGACAAGCGAAGTCAACAGGCGAAGCCGGATTCACTTAACGAACCGTTGTTACTAACTTGACAAGTGCAGCGATGCACTTCACAACGGTGACAAGAAAAGTTGTAAAACAGGACAAAGCTCACTTAGCCGTCTTGCTTAGCAACAGAAACTTTGGGCATCAATTGTGGTTGTAAGTGGAGGACTACCTGCATTCATGGTGTGTTTCTTGTGTGGACTTACTACCTTAACGGGGCTAACAATAAGAGATCTCTTATTACAAAATGTGTAAGTGTAAATCATGGATTAAGGTGAAATTCATAGGGAAATCGTTAAATGTTAAAGGTGCTGAAACCAGTATGGGATTTTTGCTGAGTCCTCTTTTTTTTAGTGAAATCAGTGGTGGGATTCAATTTTTTTTACTGCCAGTTATGTGGGCATGGCTTGGTGGGGGTGGTGTGGCTTGGTGGGGGTGGCTTGGTGGGCGTGGCAGGGGAAGGATGCTGCAAAATCCCCATTCCCTTCCCACCCGACTAACCTGATTTCCAGCTCCGTTCTCCTGTGCAGGGCAACCAAAGAAGACCCAGCCAATCAGCTGGGACTCAATGGGAGGCGGAGAAGAGATGGGGGCGGGGCCAGTCAGAGGTGACATTTGCCGGTTCTCCGAACTACTCAAAATTTCCGCTACTGATTCTCCAGGACTGGTCAGAACCTGCTGACTACCCACCTCTGAGTGAAATGTAATCTAATCCAGAAGTAGGAAGGAAGCGGTCTAAGGCTGAATAAGTGAAAAATGGGAAGAAACCAGAATCAACAGGTTGATTTATCAGTCCCTGCCTTTCTATTATTATTTTTTTCATGCATATCCTCTCTTCTTTCTTGATTCCAGGATTATCGGTGGCAAGGTTTATTATGGGGAGGTTATTGGTAAAGACTGGTTGCGTGCAGATCAAGAAACATACTCAAGACCCCCAGGTGACAGGTAAGGACTGCCTCATTTTAATTTGGGGAATATGGAGATCGTCTGGATTTGGGGAGTATGGAGATACAGCAACCGTGATGAAGGATTGCAAGAATTATTAAGCAAAGGACAACTTGTTCTGGGAAGGAAGAAGGAGTGAGAACCAAGATCAAAGTCACCCTGCCTTGAGTCTATTTGGTATAAGGGGAAGTTAAGGAAACTCTGCCTGGTTTTCAAGTTTCTGCTATTATATCTTATTGCAGCAAAGTAGAGTTTCAGTAGTCCATGCATTGTCTCTTTGAAAATCAGATCTTCCTTTTATATATAAAAAAAGGAACCAACCGCTTGAATTGTCCCCAGAAGCATATTGATAATCCCTTAGTGTGTGGTGGACAGACACCAAGGAAGGCGATCACCAAGGAATTCCAGAATTGTGATCTGGAAAATTGAATAACGGCATTCCGGAAGGTCCTTGGTGCTCTCTGAGCTTGGCTGGTTTCTTGCAGACATTTCATTGCCAAACTAAGTAACATCATCAGTATTAAGGAGTCCTACTTGGATAATGAATTGCCTGCAGAGAAAACCACCAAGCTCAGAGACTGCCAACTCTGAACTATAAATAGTCTCTTCTATCAGCATCTTGGAAGAATATAATTTAAAAAAAAACCCTGCATGGTTGGACTCAGACAGTGTCAGCCCTACCAGATAGGAAGCATAATTAGATGAATTAATTTTAATTACAATTTTCCCATTTTTAACTGCTTGATCCATGATGGAAGGCCCTCCCTAATTTCCTTCCTCCTTCCATTAAGCCACTGGGGGCTCCTGCCTCTGTTATCTAATCGTTAGAATCACATAAGAGAGGAAAATTGCTTTGAAAGCATCCAAATTTTGATCACATCACCACAGGGATGCTGAAGTGTGAAAAATGGCCATACAAGTAACTTTTTCCATCGCCGTTGTAACTCTGAATGGTCACTAAATAAACTATTGTAAGTTCAAGAACTACCAGAATGGAAAGATGTATCTTTTCTTTTTTCTCTTTCTTTCTTATCTTTCCTCACTTCTCTTTCCCCTTCCTCCCTTACTGCTTTTCTATTTACTTTATATTTTGTATTTTATAATTAATCTCTCTATATAAAAGTGAAATACCACTCACGCATCATCACAAAATCTCCAGAACCGTAAAGCCCGCAAACTTGAAACTTGGCACGTATGTTTCTCTTGGCTCCTAGGTGCTCACTAAGAAAGGATTTTTCGAAATGACCATCAGAGCATTAGAATTTCATAGATTATTATTAACACGCTCTGATGCTAAGGAGTTCTACTCCCCCTCCCCACCTGAAAAGAAATCTCTTCCAGATGCAAAACACAAGCAGAGGAGTTTCCATTTCCGTTTTAGTTTCACAGCACCCAGAGCTTTAGTACAGAACAGTTGAGCTAAGCCATGCCCAGGCTCCTTGCTGTCTCCTTCTTGCTCTCACAGCAAATACTGCTTCAGTTTCCAAACAGCCCTCAACTCTCTCTCATACCAATGGATGCTGGTAGGCAGAGGCAGAATTTTTCCCCCCTCCCTTATTTTCCTCCCCCAAAACTAAGCCACATCACACAGTTTTGTAGCGAATCATGGTTATCCATTTAGTACTTTATAATTCAATTAAAATGTTAATGGGAAAAAAAAAAGATGTATCCCTAAACAACCTTTCTATTCTTCCGGCAGAGAAAGCCAAATGGAGACATTCAAAGCCTCTGGATTAATTCCCCGGAAGGTGGAAGCCACCTTCATCTTGCATTATGAGGAGCTCCTACGGAGACGGTTAGGGAAGTATCACTACACGGTCAGCATCCGACCTCAGCAGCTGGTGGGCAAGTTACGTGTGGAAGTGAACATCCTCGAGAATTCGGGAATTAACTCTTTGGAAGTTCTGCCGCTCCAGAATAACAAGGGCAAGGGACCAGGGACCACCGAAGGTGAGCGGATAAAATGAGAGCCAGGCAGACCAGATAGGAAAACACGACCAGAATGAGTTTGTTATAGCTTATTAACAGGATCTTGCAAGTCTGAGAGTACAAATCTCCCGTTGTTGGAAGAAATATCCACCTGGCTCAGTTCCAAGCGGGGAGAAAGACACTGGAAACATGGAGGCTGGTTGGAAAGAGGGTTTATTGATGGATAGGACCACATGGGTTTGAGGTCCTGGGCAGCTGACCCACATGTGTCTGAGAGTGAGGGGTTTTGATACCCGCTCTTGGGCTTTGAACTTGAGCTTCCTGTTCCTGGGACAAGAGCATGTATTCTATTGGTTGCTATAGGGGTCACTGCTAACTTTGTAGGCTGTCTGAGTCCCAGGCTTGGTTGAAGCTTGCTGGGTGATGCAATGAAAGGGCTTGTTGTGCCCTATGGTGAGCTCTGCTGCTAGATGGTAGTGGGTTAATCCTATTATGTCCTGAGGAGTCATGTCTTAATCCCATCACCCTGGAGCTGAAGGTCTTTTGTCTTGTAGATAGGCTGGCCCAGTGCTGCTGGGTCTATTAAGAAAGGTGTGAGTTGCTTTCCAAGAGCAAGTTTTTCCTTTAGGGAATTATAATATTCTGCCTCTTTTAATATTTCTCAAAATATTTCATTCTTCTAGGAGAGTGATGGGTATTAACTTTCTACACTGTCCATCTGGATTGTCCTGTCTGCTTATTTTAATTCTTCCTTTTCATGTGGTTAGTTCTGTAGTACAGGATGGAGCATGATATCTTTTGCTCAGGAAACACCATATTTTGATTGAAATCAATGTTTCTCAACTTCAGCAACTTTCAGTTATGCGGACTTCAACTCCCAAAATTCCCCAGACATTACAAAGCTTTGCTGACTGGGGAATTCTGGGAGTTGAAGTCCACCCATCTAGAAGTTCAAAGTCTCATTTTCCTCGTTTGTTATCTGGAATGATAGGCAGGAAGGCTGCTGTCAGAGTCAAAACAAACTCAATATGAATCTTGGAAGGTTACAAATTCAAATAAAGAACTGAAATAATAAAAAAATAAAATTAATAAAACAAAAGCTAAACTAAAATAATAAAATCAACTAAAATAATAAAATAAAAAACTAAACTAAAATAATAAATAAAATAATAAATAAACTAAAATAAATAATAAACTAAACTAAACTAATAAACTAAGCTAGGCTAAGCTAATAAAATAAAGTGCTATAATATAATTAATATAATACTATAATATAATAGATACAATGTAATGTAATGTAATATAATAAATATAATATAAATATAATAATATAATATAATATAATAATATAATATAATATAATATAATATAATATAATATAATATAATACATATAATATAAATATAATAATATAATAAATATAATAATATAATGTAATATAATATAATATAACATAATAAATATACCATACCATACCATACCAATCATAATAAAAATAAAATGCTATGCTTCCTCAGCAGAACACCCCACTCCACCCCCTTCAACCGTGGTTGGCCAGACAAAGACCTTGGCTAAAATAACCTTCAGTCCCAACCTGGTCCAGCAAGCCAAGATTGCGAGGAATGGCGTTCTGGGAGATTTTATCATCCGATATGATGTCAACAGAGAACTGAGTGTTGGGGAAGTGCAGGTACACTGGGGAAAGTCCTTTGTCTCATTTCTGGCTTTCTTGGGGATGAACTCCAGGCCAGCATTCTCGCCGTTGCTTTTTGGTGGGTGTGGGAAAACCCACTCTAGAGGTGCCCCTCCCAAAGTGGTCGTTTTGATGGAGGAGCTCCATAGGCATCTCTCCTTCTCTTGTTATTCTCACCAGGTTTTGGATGGCTACTTCGTGCACTATTTTGCCCCCAAAGATCTCCCTCCCCTGCCAAAAAACATCGTCTTCGTCCTCGACAGAAGCGCATCCATGGTGGGCACCAAAATGAAGCAGGTGAGGAACTTCATTGCTCAATGCTCAAGGTATTCCTGATCCACGGTTTAAAGATGGTGAGATTCTGGTTGCTATATCTGGGATTTTAAGTTGGGGCGACCTGTTTTTGTCTAGTTTTTTCCTCACTTTAGACCAGTGTTTTGAAGATGAGTGGAGTTCGGCTCCCAAAACTGGGTCAGTGCAAAACTAAGGTCTCTCTGGAGATCTGGGGGCTGGCAAGACAGATCTTGGCAGGTGCCCAACAATGCTGATCCCTTTTTACATTTATTTATTTTTATTATAAGAATACAGCATGTTGCAACCGTTCTAGCATCACAATTGTTATACACATATAAATTTTACTTCACCATTTACAATCTTCTTGTTTAATACATTGTTTACTAATTATTCTAATCATCATAGCTACTTATAGTTCTACCTTGCCTTTTTCTATCCAACCAATGATAAAATTTATTCCACATTTCATAGTACTCAGATTCCCCCTTATTTTTAAATTCTAGAGTTAACTTGTGATTCAGCACGGGCCATAATTTTCCTTATTATCTCTATTTCTGGCGGTGTTCTTTCCTTCTTCCAGTATTGCGCATATATTATTCAAGCCGCCGTCAACACATGTATTATTAGATAAATTACATCTTTCTTATATCCTTCTGGTATTATTCCTAGGAGAGAAAAAATTCTGCTTAAATGGAACACACTCTCCCACAATTTGTTCCACCCAAGTCTGTATCAGTCTCCAAAACTTTTTTGCACCATTGCAAGTCCACTACAATGCTGATCCTTGACTTTGGAGGAAGGCCTGCCCCAAAACACATCCACGCAAACGCTTATGGACTTCCTTCAACGGGTTTTCCGTCTGCAGAAGTTAGGTCAGAGTTATTTAACATCCCAAGCAAAGGACTGACTTGGCGCGCAGTGGAAATGGCAAAGGGGTGAACCTGGAACCACCCCAGAATGAGATCATTGTTGCCAGCCTACAAGTTCGTAGGAAGCCTGCTCTGGGTCAGCGCTTGAACAGTTGAGCCTTGTCTTCTGCTGGAAAGGGTTGGGCTTACATTCAACCCGCACTGGGTAACAAGTGAGGGATTGTGAGATGGAAATGTCAGTGCCCTTTCCGTCTGTCTCAGCATCGTGATCTCAACTTTTTGGAATGAGCAGGCCAAGACCTGTGGCAGGTGGGAAGGGTTTGGTTCCAAAGTTCAGGAGATTTGCAAGAAGGGAGGGAGACCAAGGTTTCTTTCTTTCTTTCTTTCTTTCTTTCTTTCTTTCTTTCTTTCTTTCTTTCTTTCTTTCTTTCTTTCTTTCTTTCTTTCTTT